CAAGGCTATTTTGTGGTTACCACATCCTGGACTTAATTACTTTACAGTCTGTCTTTGTTCCTTCTTCAGGGCTGCGTACATGACTTCCTTATCTCAAGGATACACTCGAAAGTTTGTGAGGTCAACATCCTCATCCAAGGGGGCTGGAGAGCCAACAGATCAGCTGTGCATCCCCACAGTTCCTCCTTTCTGTATTTGTGCGAGGAAGATTGCCTGTGTTGTCTTTTGCAGGGCCCTTTGCAAAAGCAGCACAAGACATGGCAACATTACAAGCACAACTATGACTATCACCAAAAGTAAGACCCCTGTTTTGAGCAAGGACAGTAACTAACCCGAAATACGCCGCCTAGACAACCAGCCTTCGAGACCAAAAACCCCAGTTTCCTGTCTAATCTTGTTTGTTTGTTCCTGCAGAGTGGTAATTTGTCTATAGATGGACTCAGAGTGATCTGAAAGATTTAAACAACACGTCCTCAAATTCCTGACAACCATGCCTGTCCATGCACAAGCAACAAAAAGTCAATAGCAGCACGTAGCATGCCATACGCTATCAACATAAGTGGTAAGTTCATATAAAGTATCTGAAGTCAAATTTGCTTGTTTAGTTACCCAGCACGCCAAGGCATTAATTTGCTTTAGCGCTTTTGCTGAAGCAACTTGTGGTAAGAATGAAGCAGCTGCCACAATCAATGCCTGACTCCACAGGGTTAATGAAGAGTCAGGGGTCAATGACCATTTAGTTACAACATGACTGTAGAGATGAGAGTGATTCAAGAAGAGCTTATCCATGGGGGTAAGCAAGCCTAATCTGCCAAAGGTACAGGGTCCCCCAGTGGGCATCACCGGAATGCCTGGCCATGCCCGATTGCCAGAAATTGAAAAGTATCCTTTTGGAAGTTGGCGAGCAACTGCTACACCAGGTGAGGGTCGCTCACACCTTTATAAACACCAGGTGGATGCGTTCTGATAAAAGGCTATATCTGGAGAAATGTCTTGCAACTGGGTTTTTGTAACACCAAAAACATTATGTTCCTCAGTATAATTAAAATAAAAGCAAGCAGCAGCAGTTAAGGTACCCACAATATCTAATTCCTGTGGTGCAATGCCTACCAGTAGCCTATCTAGCCAGTCAGTTACATTTGCAATGCAGCTCAGTGCAGAAGCATTACAAGCCTTTGTTGACAAAGGGCGTAGTCGTGTGACATTGGAAACAAGTTTCACTGCATCAGAGTTATTCACTGGTGCCCCAATAAAACAGAAAGGGGGAGACTTGATCTATGAGGACAAAGAGTTGAATAATTTGAGACAAATCAATACAAGAAACAAAATGTTCCTCTAACAATGATTCTACCTGCAGGATAGTGTGAGTTGCTTGCTGAGTCAAAGATCGTGGTTCCAGTGGATCACTGGAATGTTCGAGCAGAGGAAAAAGAGGTTGCAGTTGCGAATTGGTCAATCCCAGATAAGGGCGAATCCAATTTAATGAACCTGTTAATTTCTGAATATCAGTCAGGGTACGAATGGGTATTTCTAATTGAATTGGTTGAGGTGTTACTGTTCGTGCAGTAAAAAGAAAACCTAAACATTTCCAGGGCTTGGTGTTCTGTATTTTTTCTGGGGCAATAACAAGGCCAAATGCCTGCAATGATTATTCTGCTACATCAACTGTTAATAATTGGTCCTTGTGCTCTGTTGCAAACAAGATATCATCTATATAGTGGTAACAGTAACAATTTGGAAACTGACTTCTCACAGGAGATAAGGCCTGTGCAAAAAACCACTGACAAATGGTAGGCAAGTTTTTCATTCCTTGAAGCAGTAACACTTCGAAGGTTCTGCATGATTAACAGAAGGTACTGTAAAGGCAAATTTTTCCTTGTCAGCTTCAGCTAGAGGAATGGTAAAGAAACAATCTTTCAAATCGATTACCATAATCAGCCAATCAAGGGGTATCATAGAGGGTGCTAGGAGTCCTGGCTGCAGAGCTCCCATCGTTGCCATGATAGCATTGACCTGCTGCAAATTGTGTAACGGTCTCCATTTACTAGATTTTTTTTTTTATGACAAACACAGGAGTGTTCCAGAGGCTGTTTGATGGTTCAATGTGGCCAGCAACCAGCTCTTCTTGCACAAGTTCTTGCAGGACCTGTAACTTTCTTTAGGCAGGGGCCACTGTTCAGTGCACACCGGAGTGTTTGTTAACCACATCAGTGCCAATGTGAGCTGTTTAACGCCCTGCAACACAGTGGCTCCTGTTAAAAATCTGTGGTAATTTTAACTCCCCATTGGGCTAGACAGTCTCTTCCCCATAAAGTCAGGGGGGCACGGGTGACATACAGTCTCACAGTTGCGACCTGTCCTTCAGGGTTACAAATTAGGATGAAATGAGCTGCAATGCAACTCTGGGCTGTACCCCCCAATCCTACAACACCCAATTCAGAGGACACCAGAGGCCAAAAACTTGGCCAGCTATGCTGAGAAATTATGGTTATATCAGCACCTGTGTCAAGCAAACCAGTCACCTTAACAGCAGGAGGCAAGCTCTTTCCATTGCGCAATTCACAGATCTTCTGCAGACGTTTGTGGGATACGGTCTGTGACCAGAAGACTTGCGGAGGTCCTGTTGATCCAAATCCGCTGGCACATCTCTCCCGGTCCTCTGTATGGGGAACACAATTCACAAAAGGCACAAGTTCAGCAATACAAGTTCCTTTTGGAATAGTCACAGGAGGATAAGGAGTAGATACCATAGCACATATTTGTCCTGTATAGTCTGCATCAATCACCCCAACATGTACAATTATCCCAGCGATTGTGCTACTTGAGCACCCCATCAATAAAGCACTTAATCCACAGCCAATAGGTCCGTTAGCATCTAAAGGAACCTTAATGACATCTGTAGAAGAAATTGTTACTGTGTCGGCGGTGGATACATCCATACCGGCTACTCCGCTGGTCGCAGAGGGGAATGCCAGGGGGCCTGCGTACAGATTGGGCTGCGGCAAGGAAGGTAATTGTGTCCAGCGCACCTCTTCACGCTCGCTTTCCCATTTCCCTGCGGGGGCTGACCACTAGCACAATATTTGGATTGGCATTGTTTAGCAAAGTGCCCAGGCTTACCACAGCGATTACAATGAACTCCAGGGCGATTAGCCAAAACCTTTTGCTTCCCCCCCTTACCTTTGGCAGGGCAGTTAGCTTTAAGATGTCCCTCTTTCTTGCAATTAAAACAGCAAGGAGTGGGGCACAACACTGCTGCACTACCCACTTTCAAACATGCCGAGACCATATCAGTGACAGACCGGTCTCCTGGCAATGCTTCTATGATTTTTTGGCAGTCTTCATTTGCATTATCTTTTGCTAATTGTTTCAATAGTGTGTCACGTAGAAATTGATCATCAACCTGCTTTTCTAACGATGTCGCAATACGCTGAACAAACTGCAAAAATGGTTCTTTTACTCCCTGTTTCACTGTCGTATACTTAGGACAAGGGGAAGCAAACTCCATAGTCTGAATCAAAGCTGACATTCCCAATCTCTGACATTGTTCTAACACAGCAGGATCCCATTGGCATTGTAAGTCGGGATTGCTAAAATGACCCTTTCCCATCAAAGCCTCAACTCCTATGCCCTGCCTCGGATCCCCTTGAGGAGTCCTCATATTTTCCATCGCTACACGCTCTGCCAACTTTTGCCAATTAGTGTTAAACACCTGGAATTGTACAGGCTGAAATAAAATTTGAGCTAGATGTTCAATATCATAGGGAGCCAACAACTCCGAATTAAGTACGCTAATCAAACGCATAACTTCAGGAGAATTAATGCCATATTTTGAGGCATGCATCTGTAAATCCTGAACAACCTTCCAAGCAAATAAATCATGACTATCTTGCTTGCCAGAATTAGGGGCAGCTTTCAACACAGGGTAAGCTTGTACTCCTGGTTCTACTCCTGGAGCAAATACACCTTCGTCCACAGTTTTTTAGGGGTGCCCAACCTTTTCTAACAGCTCCTAATCCCCCTGTTCTGCAGCCTGTACACGCACGCTCTCCCAAAATCTCCTAGGATGACGTGGCATCACTGTGACAGTTACTGGTGGCAAAGTCCACAGATCAGTCAGTGTTCGTGTCTTACGGCACTGGGACCCCCAAGTATTGGTTGAGAGGCTTGACTACAGACGGAAGCATTTTCAGCATCCTCCACGTCTACATCATTTGCTGGGGGGGCTGATGCTGATTGATACAAGCCTTTGTTAGGTATGTCATCCTTGTTGTTTTCATCAGTGTCCTCATCCTCCTCCTCCTCCTCCGACAAAGGAACAGAGGACGCAAGCCTTTGCTTAGCTTTAAATTCCTCTACAAGTTCCATAGGTTTCTTATAATGCTGAGGGACTATATCAGTAGGTGATTTGTATTTACAAGGAGTCTGAACTAGTTCATGGGGTGAAGGATAGCGAACCTTCAGACCTTTTGGGGCTTTTGGAGCCGGACCCTTGGTAGATTTTTTAGAAGGTGGATCCGGACACCACACCGTTTTCATTTTATCTGCTAAAGCACACAATTCATCATCAGAGGGGGAGGTAGCAGGTGGCAGTGCTGCAGCGGCTGAAGCTCCCTCCTCCCCTGCGTGTCCTTCTGTATCTGACACAGGCTCTGTTTCAGGCAACTGAGTGCCTTCCAAAACTTGTTCATTAAGCCAGTCTTTCAAAGTCTTAACCAATAAATGCCAGGTGGTAGGCAAACCTTCTACATCCTTAGCACCCTTACACATCTCTTTCCACAGTTTATCCCCCACCTTTTCCCAAGTCTTTACACTAAATGCAACTGATGTGTTAGCTTCAAAGCCTTGCTTTCAGCACCATAGTAGCAAACTTTGCAAAGCGTGATCTTCAACAGTTACACCTTTATGCTTTAAAAGATACTTCCAGGAGGATAGCACCAACTTTTCTTCTTTAGAAATCTGGTTCCCCATTCTCACAGTGCCTTTTCTTGGCAGCTCACCTTTTCCAGATGTCAATAGCTCTCAGGTCCAGACCAGACAGCGTCTCCGCTGCTCTCAGCTACGCCAAGCTCCGTCACCACCACCCGTCGCCCAGTGGTTACTTGCAGTATCACGTAGAGGGTCACCATAATATATAGCTGAAATAAATTAATAAATTAATAGTAGGGCTTTGTTTATAATAATGAGGAATTATATAAACTGTGATTGTCTAACAAAACAATGCAGTATCCAAATACTTTGAGTTTTGCAGGATTTACATGTGAGTTGGGGTTAGCAGACTTCTCCACACATAGTGCTTGCAAGGAGACTATTCCAACAAACTGGACCTTTCTTCTAAGAAACAGCTAATATATTTTGACTGACTCAAGTTCTAGCAGTATGACACTCTCTGTCTGTCACAAATATCATCATTTCTATGATGCAAGTTGTTCCTGCAGAATTACAGAGGTAAAAGAAGACATTTATACTAGAGCTTAGATTGTGTCATGCTTAAACCTGCTGAGCTGAGATGAGAAGAAAGGGGCTGATAAGTAAGGTAAACCTGATTGGTGACAATGATGAAATAATGCAATTAAAGAAGAATGAAGTAAGAAGTGAAGATGATGAAAGCAAGGCAATTTACTGACAGTGATATTAGAAAATGATTTGAAAACTATTAGGGTAATAATGACAAAATATCAAGTAATCAAAGACAAGAGTATTCTTAACAAAGAGATTAAGCTAAATTTAAAAATTTTTGTAGATATGCGTTGAGGTGGATTATATTAATTGCAATAAAACTGCTGTAAAATTCTCTGTTCATATACAGTCCAGATGCTGCACTGGCCTGCCACTATATGTCAGATGAGGGTATGCTCATCCTGATGAACAGAAATTAAGGAATTGAATTGAAAGTGAAGAATATACTGAAATTAAAAAAAAAAAAAAAAAAAAAAGACAAAATTTCTAGATTTCAGCCTGCCTTTTCACAAAAAATAAAATTAAAAGTGTTATGCTCATGTCTGGGTTCTTCTCTGCTTGGCATTTCTCAGTCAAGAAGATCTAAGCACACAAAGGGGACGTCACCCTTGACCAACCTGATACCATTCTAAGAATAAATGACTGGGTTTGTGGGCAGAGAGAGAACGTTCGATGTTGTTTGTTTTCTTCAGTAAGGCTTTCAACACTGTGTCCCATAAGATCCTGACAAAGAAGCAGACAATGAGGTTGAATGGACATCATCTGAACAGCCAGAGTGTACCCTTTAGCAAGTTTGTTGATGACATAAAGCTGGGAACAGCTGATACATGACAATTTGTTGATTATACTCATCAGAGGGACCCCAGGGGGCCTTGACAAGCTGGAGAAATGGAGACCTGAGAAGAGCCTCATACAATTCAACAAGGGTAAAATCAAGTCCTGCATCTGGGGAGAAAAATCCTCTGAAATTTTCTGAAAAATCCTCTGAAAAGTCCTCTGTTGACCAACTGGAAAGAAGCTTGACAGAAAAGGACCAGGATGCCAAGTTGTACACAAGCCAATAATGTGTCCTTGTGACCAAAAAAAAACCAAACAACAACAACAAAAAAAAACAGCCAGTGGTATCCTGGAATACTTTAGGAGGACTGTTGCTAGCAGGTCAAGGGCGACGATACTCTGTTCAGCACTGACAATCCACAGCTAGAGTACTGTCCTGTTCCGGGGTCCCCAGTACAATGAAAATATAGAGCTAGTAGAGATAATGTCACAAAGTACCACTAAAAGCACTAAGGGATTGGAGCAGCTCTCATATGAGGAGAGGGACTGCTCAGTATAGAGAAAAGTAGATTCAGGGAGGTAGACAATCCATTACTGTGTCCAAACACCTCATGGGAGGGTGGAAAGAAAAGGTAGCCAGGCTCTTTTAAGTGGTTCCTAATGACAGAACAAAAGGCAGTAGACACAAACTTACCCATAGAAGGTCCAGCTGAACATGTCCAGCTGACCATGAGGAAACACTTTTTGCTATGAGGGTGACTAGGCACAGATTGCCCAGATGTGCAGTCTCTATCCATGGAGATATTCAAAGCCCATCTGGATATGGTCCTGGATAAGTGGTTCTAGATGACCCTACTTGAGAAGGAAGGTTGGACCAGATGAAATCCACTGGTCCTACATCACCCATTCTGTAAGAATGTGGTTAAGAGTCTCTGATTCTTCCACAGCCTGGATAACCAGAGGAAGAAGAGGTGCTCAGCTCTGGGACAATCACAAGTGCAAAAGTACACATGATTCTGTACAGTGCAGAAACACATGAGATGCAGAAAGGTGAGACCACTTTAATCCACCTGATATATCTATGTCCAGTGACAGTATCATCCCAACACAAACTTGTGTTGTAGTCTAATATCTAAACCTAAAACTCAGATGACAGTAAATGCAGTTACAGTTAGTAATTGAATTTAAAGAAAGGTGAGTATTGGGGGTGTGATTATGCAAAACCACTTTGTTAGGTGATTTAACAGGTTTATGGTGAGTTATCTGCAATTGTGCATCTTCAGACGGTGATTCTCAGTGTCTTACAGGACTGCCTTACCCTGTTTTTTGTAAAAATATCATGGCACATGCAGTGTTTATGTCCTACACATCACAATACATCCATATTAGGGTTGGGTCTTGTGTCTCACAGGCAGGTGTGACACATTCCACCAGTTATTTAGTGGGGGTTTTTTTTGCTTGCTAATACCCAGCTGATCATTTGCATGATTGAAATGGTTGATCAATTAAGTTATTGAGTGGTGAAGAGCTCTATTTATTCTCTGTGGTACTTTTTTTGAACAGTGCCTTCTGATACTTTTGACTAAGCAAATGGTTGTTTTAACACTGCTTCAATTTTGAGCAAATGAGGAGTGATATTCAGGCTCGTTTACCTACCTTTAAAACTCTATCATCTGTGAATTTGATGGGGCCAATGCAAAGAGAACCTGGTAAACAGACTGACAAAGAAGGGTATCTCCCTAGCAGGAATCCTGAGACATCTCTCATAAGTTCAGAAGAAACTTTCTTGGGGGGGGGGGGTAAGTAGGACAAAGAAACTTTCTTGATGGGGTGTGGTAGGTAGGACAAAGAAATCTTGATGGGTGCAGGACAAAGAAACAGTGATAAAAAACTGACCATCCTACTCCCACATAAGAAAGGTACAAAAGGAAACTCTTTACCTATCTGCCCAAAATAAACTTCTTTGCAATGCCTCTCTGCACAGAGAGACAAGATTCTTACCAGGAATGCATGAATGACTCCAGACTCTATTACCTGTGATTTCTTCTGTCATTGATTAGCTCCACTCCTATCGTTAGTGTTGAACCAGTGACATTTGGCACAACATATTCATAGGTATGTGCATAAGTAAAGGTTCATAAGTACATATTTGCTTCACTGGTTGGAATTCTGTAATAACTTGCAAGACAATTATATTTGATTTATGCTTGTAACATGCATGTACTTTCAAACTTGCTTTCCCAGTGGTAATTTTGCAGTGCCTTGTGTATATTTCTGTAGTTGTTTGCATCAGCGGACCAGAGACCCACGCTCTCCAACATCCAGTAGCTGCAAATAAACTAAAGGCAGCTTAACCAGCCAGTAGAAACAGAATTGCCATCCCCTCTGGTATTTCTGCCAGTGCTGTTCAGTGAATAACACAGGTGAAGAAAAGGCAAGGGTTACAAGAACAAGTACTGCTTGAAGCCTGCCCTAGAGAACAAGTTTTGACACAGTGCATGCAACAGAGTTTCTGATGGCTCTTAATGCCAGCGATCCTTCACAGCACACATTGTTCCCTAAGCAAATAAGCAGGACATTTCAGATGCTTTACTCTTTTAAAATGTTTCAAATATTATAGAGCCCTTCTCAAGAGAACATGACTGCCTCTCTCCCTGGCTGCTTCTGATCTCTTCCAAGTATGAATCTATGCTTAACTGTGATTGATGTGGTAATTCAAACTGACATGTGGGAAAGGGAAAGTTGGTTTTTGCTTTTTTTTTTCTTCCAGGACATATAGAGTAATCAAGATGCTGCTGGTGTATACAGTATTTTTTCTATGTTAAGGCACAATTAGGTAAATAATTTATGCCTCTAAGTATTCAGTTGTCCTTTAGGAGGCTAAGAACAAACAAAATCTTTTTCCTTGACAATGGTTTTAGATCAATAAAGGTAAAAAAGTTTAAAGGTGGGGCAGATTGGGTAAGTCCTTTAAGCACTGTCTTAAAATGCCAGGATAGAGGTGATGAAGACCTCCACTTCCTTATCCTGCTGGAAAGAGACTATAATTTCAAAATGTCATCAATTTTCAGGTTTATTTGTCTGCTTACAATCCTTCTAAACTCCCACCCCATGGCTTCAAATCAGGGCCCTATGACTTTTTTCTTGTTCATCTCTACACAATTTCAGTAGTTAATCTATACTGCAACATTCTTTTATTCTTGGTTATTTGCAGGCAAGTCATAAATGCACTCTGGAGTGCTAACAAAATTCCTTAGGAAAAACTCAGGAAAGAGATCCTGCTATTAGATTCAAGGCATCTGTCCTGGTTAGAACGGCTGGGACCAATTCATCCCTGGATGGGTGTA